CCTGGGAGTTGCCTCAGTCCAGAGTCTACCTCCAAGAAAGCCCGCCAAATGGTGACTCCTCCCCAGGGAGGATCAAGACCACTCCCAAAGGCTATTTAAACTGACCCCAGAGAACGAACACATGGCCCCCCCTTGTTTTTTGTACCCCTCTCTGTGTTTTTCTGGAGGGCTACGGGGAACACCGGCATCCATTAAATCTAGGCTTCTTTTAATTTGGTCTGATTTGGATTATTGCAGAGGCGGTTTATCAGGCAGAAAAAAAAAAGCTTAATACTCCCTTTGAGGACTGAGGCAAGCTGGAAGTCATGTAGAATCTGAGTTGCCTTGCTGGAGACAACCAGAGGTTATTTAGTGAGTCATTCTTATACAATGAGAATATTATAAAATAACTCTTGAGGGAAAATGTATTACGATGGGTATGCCAAGTACAAAACCTTTTAAAAAGCCAGAATTCCTGCCTCAATCTTTGCTAGTAAAACCCCAACTTATAGAGCTGGAAGTGGCAGCTTGAGAAGGATGGATATTAGACATTTTTTTTTCAATTTTTTTTCTTAGGAATCACCCAGAAGGGATAAGCACACTGTGAAACAGAAGAGCAAGAACCACTTTTGGCATCACGCGGTGAAAATCAAGCCACACAAGCTGCTCTAGAGGGCGTGGGTCCCAGTGGACAGGCTGGCGGTGAAGGGTGTGTTCACAGTTGCTGATTTCAGATAAGGCTGATGGACATCCATGGGAAGAGCCTGGAGGAGAGGGTGGCAGTCTGCAGAGACTGGGGGTTCAGGAAAGCGCACATCTGTAGGTTGATCTCAGTCTGCCAGCAAGAAAACCATTGTGTAGCCTAGAGTTTAGCTTTAGATAATGCAGCATTGACTAATAAGAACCCAGAGACAGAAACTGGGGTTCAACCTGAAGGTCAGAAAAACAAAACAGCTAGCCACTGGCTCTTACCTCTACCTCAGTCCGAAATGGCAATCCTGCCTCCAGAAATCCTCAGAATGAGACTGAGAGCTGCCTTCTGTCTTATATTCCTCTCTAGGGCTGGGATTAAAGGCGTGCACCACTACTGCCTGGTTTCTACGGCAAACTAGTGTGGCTCCTAGGATTGATTAAAGGTGTGTGTCACCACTGCCTGTTCTGTAAGGCTGACCAGGGTGGCTTGGCTGTTTTACTCTCTGATCTTCAGGCAAGCTTTATTTATTAAAATGCAATGAAATATCACTACCAGATGGTGAAAGCTCAGGGAATTCACTACCGAAACCCTGATTTGTGTGTGTGTGGGGGGCGGGAACAGAGGAAATGGGGATGACAGGAATGGGCCAAGGACAGCAGGGAATTTTTCCAACTAGTCTCAGTTTCCTCTGTTGTCCCTCTCCCAATACTGCCACCAGATTATGATCTACCGTTGGATTCATTCCTGCAGTGGGTCAGAATTTCATGACACAGTGGCTTCCCTGAAGTTCTTCCCCTCAATACTGTTGCACTGGGGACCAGGCCTTCAGCACGTGAGCCTTGTAGGGGACACTTCATGTCCCAACCATAATAACAAATGCACACGCATGCATGCACACATGCACATGAGCACACAGACATACATATGCGTGCACACATGCACACATGCATGCAGTGTGTCTGCATGCACATGAGCACATGCACGCATGCACACAGCACACTAACAGACACATGTACACACGTGAGGCAAAGGCTTTGTACGTGTAGCAGTAAGAGGAGGTGAAAGTGGTAAGATTGGCTAGTTAGAAATGAAGAACATCTGCACACAGAAGGAACCAAATGCTCAGTCAGCACAGGGAAACTCAGAAGACGGGAGCTGAGGAAAGACTGAAACCTGTATTTAGGAAAAAGGACTTTTTATTTTTCTATAAGAACTTCCATAATTAGGAAGAGAATTGGGCGCACTGTACAGAAAATTCATAAAAATGAAATACAAATAACATTAGGATATATTATTAACCTTAAAACACTGTTTAAATATTTTATTTCTATATTTTTATGAGCATATGTGTATATCTGTGTGTCCCTGTGTGTGCACTTGTGTTTGTGTATATGCTTGTGGAGGCCAGATGTGTATGTGTGTGTATGTGTGTGTGTATGCGTCTCTTCTGTACACTTGTATTTGTGTAAATGCTTGTGGAGGCCAGATGTGTGTGTGTGTGTGTCCCTGTGTGTGCACTTGTATTTGTGTAAATGCTTGTGGAGGCCAGATGTCAACATTACTCACTCTCCATCTTATTTTTTGAAACAATCTCTCAGTAAAACTGGGATTTCTTGATTTGTCTAGATTAGCTGCTAGCAAGCCCCAGGTCCTCCTGTCTGCCTCTGCTGTGCTGAGATTACACGCATGTACCGCCACTCCTACCTTTTCACGTGGGCAAAGGGGTTCGTGTGGGAAGCACTGCAGCTGGGCCATCCCCTCAACCCTTAAAACGTTCTTTAATTGGATTGACAGATTTCATTTCTGACCAAACTAGAGGGAGCCCACTCGCTACAGCTTGTGCCTTACCGCTAAAACTTCTGGCAAAACACAACATCAATGAAGTCAAGGAGAGCAGGCAGACTGGACAGGGAGCTCAAAAGTTGAACGGACACCATTGTGAGGCCATGAGATTCCTCGTTTTTTGTTTGGTTTGTTCTTCTGTGCTGCCTTCTGGCTTTGATCTGAAGGCTGGCTGAAAGGGGAACCAGTAATCAGAGATGATCAGAAAACAGGTTGGAGAAACCTAGCGTCCGGCAACAGTGACAGGACTAGGCTGCAGGGAGCAAGAGAGCTGTCGTGAACTGCCCATGGTTTTCCTTTCTGAGCTTAGCCTGGTCTAGAGGCTGACACCTGAAGCCAGGAGAGCAAAATTGTCCTATAGCAGTGGTCCTCAGCCTTCCTCATGCTGCGGTGAACGCAAGGCTCTAACGGCTGGAGCGTGGCAAATGTGGCACTGACAGGTTTGCCCTTCTCCCTTCCCCTCTTCCGTGCTGCAAGCCCTGAGATTACATTTCTAAAGTTAGCCCCCATGGTACAGCCCCTTATTTGGACACTGACTCACTGAGACTAAGTAGCAAGGTCCAAAAATCAAAATTCATTATTTGTCTACCATGTCCAATCAGGACTTACCAGCTCACTCTGGCACAGACTCGCCCTTTTCTCCTTAAAAATCCACACCAGTTTGCAGCTACTGCTGCTTGCTGTCTGCGTTTGCAACCCCCACCCCCATCCCCACACCCCTGCTAGCCCCTCAGGGGTAACAAATCTCCTTTGTGCAGAGAACTTGGTGTCTGAGTGCGTCCTGTACCAGTTCCGAGGGGGCTGTCCTCCCTTACAATGACCTCCAGCCATAACATTATTTTCACCGCTATTTCATAACTGTAATTTTGCTACTGTTATGAATCATAATGTAAATATATGTGTTTTCCCATGGTCTTAGACCATCCCTGTGAAAGGGTCATTTGATTTGTGACCCACAGGTTGAGAACCACTGTTTTAGTGGGAGGGAATGGAAAGAGGACTCCTGGGAGCTGCAGAGAATGGAGCTTTGAAAGGGGTGTTGAAGGTGCCTAATTCTAGGGGACTTTTTGTTATGTAGCAAAGGATAATTAAGACGATGGTTCATGCCTGTCCTAGCCTGCTTTGATAAAACGTGGATGAAAAACAACTTGGGAAGGAAAGGATTTATCTGGGTTACAATCCAAGGGAAGCCAGGGTAAGAGCGCAAGTCAGAATCCTGGGACAGGACCTGAAGCAGAGACCATAGAAAACACTGCTACTGGCTTGCTCAGTTTGCTTTCTTAAACTGCCAGGTCCTGCCAGGTTAGGATGGTACCACCCAGTGGGCCTGGCCTTCCCACATCATCAAGAAAATGCGGGCTTGTCTGATAGAGGTCATTCCTTATGTTCCTTCTTCCCAGGCAACTACAGCTGTGTCAGGTCCACAAAAACTCTTCCCTGGCATGCACAAAGCCCTGGTATCAATCTCTAGTATAAAGATCATCTGAGCTAAGTGGATTAAAAAAATACTCCATTCAAATGATGTTTTTTCGAATATTTCCAATCAAATACCAAAAGATGAAGTTATATACTAGGATGAATATAAATAAGTTCAGAGGATGAGCGAACAGGAACCTTGAATGATAACAAGTTATAGTATAACCATAACAAGTCTACTGAGTCATCAATTGGTTCTAATTGTTTATGCCTTGGTTTTCAGAGAGGGGTTTTCAGAGAGGAGAGAGCACCAGGGCCCTGCTGAAACCAGTCAAGAATTGCTCCTTAGGGCAGAGAGGGGTCTAGAAGAAACTGCCTCCAACCCTGCACACCTCGGTGTTGGGGGGAGGATGGGGGAAAGGAGGGCTTGTCCCCACGGAAGAAGGCAGCTTTGTTTAACCTCAGGAGAAGCAAGGAAGGCAACCCTGCTTGGCCAGGGGCAGAAACAGGAAGGGTGTGGAGGGTGGAGGGTGGAGGGTGGAGGTGGGAGGGTGTCTGGGAAGCGCTCGGGGTTGGGAAATCCCATGGATGCCTGAAGGTGAGGTTTCAGTTATAAATCGGATCTGAGCTTCTCTTTACCTGGTACAACTGAAACGAGACCTGTGCTCACACTGGATCCCTAGTCCCTTCCATTCCCTGACCCCCCGCAAGGCAAAAACAGCGAGTCTTAGTCCCAATTCCACTACAATGACAGCCAGTCAGGCCCCGCCCCTTCCGCCGAAGCTCCGCCTCTCCCCCGTTCGAATGACTGTAGGTCGGACCCCACCCCAAGAGCGGCCCCGCCCACCCACCGAGTCCCCGCCTCCATTCCGTCGCAGTGGCTCCACCCGCCGGCTCACCGTGACAGCCCTCGCGGCCCCGCCCATCCCGCCGAGGACACGCCCCTGCCGAGCGACAGCCAGTGAGGTTTCGCCCTGTGCACCTCCGGCCCGCCTCTTTCGCCGTGGTCCTGCCTACCCCGACCAAGTGACAGCCGGAAGGCCCCGCCCCGTCCCGTCCGGTCGTTGACGCCCCCTGGAGGCCTAAAGCGCCACGCCCAGGTCGCGGTCCAGTCTGCCCCGCCTCAGCGCCGTAGCCGGGTGCTCCCTGCTCGGGCCGCCCCCGAGGACGCTGCGTGGGCGGCCGGTGAGTGGGGAGGGGAGCAGCCGGTGCGGGGGGGCCTGCCGGGGCTTCCGCCCACGGGGAAGAGCGACTCGGCTGCGCGGGGCGGGGCTGGAGCTCTGCAAGGCCGAGGTCCTGCGGAGGCAGGGGGATGCCGCCGGCTTCTTGTCGGCGTCGGGCCTGGGGCGGGGCCCGTTCTGATTGACGCCTGGGGTCCGGGGGTGCAGGCGGCTCTGATTGACACTTAGGGAGAACGTCTGGAAGCGTTCCAGGGTTGCGGACAGATCCGGTTCCACTTTTCTGACCCCGGGGCCTGCTGTCGCACGACTCCGGTGAATGGGTAGAGATCCCTGTCCCCGCTGGCCGACCACCTGAAAACCCTGCTTCTTCCCGTAGCTGGGGCGGTTTGCGTGGGTGTCCTGACTTGGGCGCTCTTCGAGTTCATTCCCACTCCAAACTGCGGTGTCGCACGCATTTAAACCCTGGATGTGTAATCGAATCCTGTGCGTTTTAAAAGTTTCCAGCGCACTGCGAGCCGCCTGGTTTTCGTTTAAAGTCACACTAACCTCAGAGGACCAGACGTTTATAAAGGCACATTCTGTCTTTCAACAGTTTTAACTGCAGCCGTGGATAAGCAACTGTGAGATGCTCCCTGAGGCGTCTCTACCTGGTGTGAATAGCCCAGTACACTCACACAGACTAACAGGCTGTGACTTCACCAGGCATATTGTTTATTTTTTTTTAACTTTGCGCGTGTTCACGTGTGAGTGCAGGCACGAGGATGCCACACAGGCTTGTGGAGGTCAGAGGACCACAGGTGCCGGCCCTTGCCTTCCTCCTTGTTTGAGGCAGAATCTTTTCATTCTTGGCAGCTGTGCTGCCTGCTCTAGGGCTAGGCTATTGGACTTTACAGCATCTCCCCCTAAGAGCTGGGATTACAGAAGTGCTCTGTGGCCTGGCTGAAGGTGCATTCTGGGGGTCCAAATTTAGGTCCCCTTAATGAGACACGAGAGATCCAGAATAATGGACAGACCCAGACAAGACCGGTAAAGTGTAGCGTGAGTGTGTATTTGTGAGTTCGTGCATGTGTTTGGGTAAACTGTAGTGTGTGTGAGAGAGGAAAACTAGAAAAGTTGAACACAGAAAAGAGGATGAAGTTGAAAATATAAATGCTCTGATTTGTATGGCTTCTGCCGACATTCTAATGATTTCCTTCCTAGTTTGTATTCTTACTGTGGTGTGAATATAGGTGTGCACAGGCCATGGAATGTGTGCAGGATTCAGAGCCAGTTCTCTCTTTTCATCCCCGTGTGAGCTCCAGAGGGCTAGAACTCAGTCAAGTTTGCATACCCAGCACTTTTTACCACCACCACCCGCATCCGCCGTCTCACCAAACCAATCCCTGTCTATAGGTACACATGTTCCCATATTGTGACTCTTCCAGCTTAGCGTTTTCTCACTTAGTATTTTCCTTGATCCCTAAAAATTCACACAGAGCAACCAATTATTTGTTTTAAAAATAATATTAGTATTTCAACTCTGTTTAATACATGCTTGGAAGTGAAAAATTAGGCTGATCAAGGCAGTTATATTTTCCAAGTGTTTAAACGCCAATTCCTTATCAGTATTCATAAATATTCATAAATTATCTGTACCTTTCTGCTTTTACACAGAATAACACCTTTGCTTTTGGACGATGCCTGCTTGGAATGCGGAGCATTTGACCTGTTTGTTGTTTTTTTTTTTTTCATTTTTTTTGTGGTTATTGATTTCAACTTGACACAAGCTGTTCTCCATCAAATTGATAGGCACACAAGTCTGTGGAACGTTTTTCTTGATTAATGAATAAGGGGGGAGGGGCCCGCCGTCCCCGCCCCCGCCCCCGCCGCCCACCGAAGGTAGAACTATCCCTGGGCAGGTGGCCTTAGGTTGTATAAAAAAGCAGGCTGATGGAGCCCAGAAGCAGTGTTCCTCCATGGTCCCTACTTCAGTTCCAGTCTTGAGTTCTTCCCTGATGGTGGAAGCCAAGTTAACCCTTTTCTCCCCACGCTGCTTTTGGTCCTGGTCCTGGTACTGATCAGAGCAATAGAAACCTGAGACAGTGCTCCATGTGACCTGAAGCTGCGCTGAATGCGCGGGAGTTTTTATGTGTACTGCTGGGAAGGGAAAAGAAGGGATTTGGGCAGGAAAAGATACCTTAAATGATTTTTATTTTGAAGTAATTTGGATTTTTAAAAGTCTGCAAAAATACTGAGTTCTCATGTGCCAGCTTCCCTGATGCTAATTCAGTGTATGTTCTTAGTACAATTCCTGAACAGAGAAACCACACTGACACCATTCCCTTAGTGACCTGCAGATCTTGGTCGGAGCACACCAGGCTCCCACACACTCCCGGATCCAGTCCTTAGCTTTGAACAAAGGCATCCTCCCAGACAAGATGACCAGGTACAGAGCTGTGCAGTAGGGCAGGCCTGCAGGAAGTCAACAACCTTTCCTGAACCCATCTCCTGAACACTGTCTGAGAAAGGATGCTTATCTTTCCTGTGCACACAAGCTGCTGTTTGAGTAAATTACACACTAAAGGGACCCTTTTTTTCCTTGTGTGGATGTCTCAAGACAGGAAGTCAGCCTCAGGACACATCTTCAATTACTCTCTACCTTGTTTTCTTTTCTCTCTCTCTCTCTCTGTCTCTCTCTCTCTGTCTCTCTCTCTCTGTCTCTCTCTCTCTGTCTCTCTCTCTCTGTCTCTGTCTCTCTCTCTCTGTCTCTCTCTGTCTCTCTCTGTCTCTCTCTCTCTCTCTCTCTTTCTTTCTTTAAGTCAGGGTCCCTCATTGTCCCAGAACTCATTAGTTAGGCAAGGCTGGCTGTACAGGGACCACCTCCCTCCAGACCTGACCAGCATTAGTATTAGAAGCTTAGGCTTCAATGCCCAGCATTTTAATGTGGGTGCTGGGGATTGAACTCGGGTCCTTCTGCTTGCAATGGCAAGCAGTTTACAGACAGATGTAACATGTTACAGAATAGAAGGACTGATCAGATAATCCAGGTGTCTTAACTTCTTTATTAGGATATGAATTACAACAGGAGTCCCTTTGAAAGCAACGTGCCAAGTGCCCACCCTTTCCTCCAGATACATTCAGCTCCAACAATTAAAATCACAGCCTTTTTTCTTGGGCTCCTCTTCTCATTTCCAGCGTGTTCAGAGGTGTTTCATTCTCCTCTCACTCAGATGCTCCTGTTCTGCTTCACCATTGAGAGTAATGGGTCCTGTTTCTCCCTGAGCCTGAAATAAGGTGGTGTGTGTATGTGCGTGCATGCATGTGCACACGCAGGAGTGTCTGTTTTCAAGAATCCCCTCCGCTGTCCTCATGCACAGCCTCTCCCAGTGAACTGTGTTTCTCTGCATCCTAAGCACTATTCAGATCCACCCCTCGTGGGCCAGGGATCCCGTGACCAATGGGAAAGCCAGGTGTATCCTCTTCTCAAGTAGGTGTCTCTGCTCCTTTGGTAATTCAGCACACCTTGGAAGAGACCCCCACCCAGCACAGTTTTCTGGAGCCTGTGCAGGGCCTCTGGCGAGCCCTGGATGCTCAGCTTGCTGGTCGCTCTCACCGTTGCCTTGGTCTACAGTCTTGATCGGGAGGAAGTTGAAAGAAGAGCATCCTACCCCCTAGTGCCCTGGAGGTTGGTCTGTTGAATCACGGATATGTTTTAGATTGCTCCTGCCACGACCACACCTGTCACACACTAATCACATTCCCGTCTGGTATTTTGGGTCTGCCTTTCTGTTCCATCTTGTGGTAATGGTGGAGCAAACGCCCGCTACAACGGTTGGTGAAAGGGAGTCACAGAACTCAGTTTAGGCAGAGGCTGCCTCTCCCCACACACCCCTCACTCAACTGGTCAGGGCTGCCAGTGGGCAAGGTGGAACAGAGGTGTGGGGACCCCCAGACAGGGTCACCCAAGAGGGATTATTAATGAAGGGGTCAGGTCAGGCGAGGACACATTAGTGCTATTGCAGTGTGGGGCAGAGAGAGGGCACTCCCAGGTGGGCTGTGGGGAGAGGGAGGAGACAAAGTCTGCTCCGTAGGAAACCATTCTCCTGGCACTCTGCATCTCCGTGGATGGCACAGTTGCTGTGTGACTTTGCAGAGGCACAGGAAGGTAGTTGGTCCTCACGGGACTGCAGGCACCATAGCCTGCCTGCTTCCCTTCCCTTCTCTTATGGTTTATACTGCTCACAGTGGAACCTAGGCAATTCTGGCACTTGTGATAGAACTAAAATTGTGTGTATGCACGTGCGCACACATGTATGGCAGGTGTGCATTCCTGTGCACTCACACTTTGAAGCTAGAAGTGGTCACTGGGAGTCTGACTTTATCCTTCTCTGAGACAGGTCTCACTGAACCTAAGAGGGAAGCCAGCAAACCCCAGAGATCCCCTCTCTGTTCTCCCACAGATCCAAGGTTACTGATACGCATGTCCACACCTAACTTTTTTGTTTTATTTTGTTCTCCAAGATAGGATTTTGCTGTATAACAGCCATGGCTGTCCTGAAACTCACTCTGTATACCAGGCTTACCTCAAACTCACAGAGATCTGCCTGTCTCTGCCTCCTGAGTGCTGGGCTTAAAGGCATATGTCACCATTGCCTGGCTCACATCTGGCTTTTTATGTGGGTGCTGGGGATTTGAACTCAGCTCACATCTTCTGGTGTTACTGTGTATTTAGTATACATTTTATATGGAGTCAGTGTGTATAGTTTTCTTAATTGTGTGAGGAGTTAGCATCTGTATTAATGACTAAGTATAATTTTTAATGAATGTAGTTGGATCTGTGTCTGCTTATGGGTGGTCCTGTCGTACCACATGGTATATAGTTGTCTTTGGTGGATGTTTGGATAGTAGGTTGTTTCTTTTGTTGTTGTTTTTCATAAATACACAAATAAATACAATAAAATCTGTAATGACTTCTATATTCACATTGGTTCAAAGATCCTTTAGAGACAAGTATTAGTAAAGTGGCAATGAACATCTAGATACATTTTGTTTAATTTTCTTCTTGGGACAAACTCCTGAAAATAATACTGTGATGTCAGTGTGTAGACATTTGCATTCCTTGTTGCTGGTTTGCTTTCTGGAAGGTGGTGCGTTGCTGAGTCCATCCGTGGTGCGTGAAAATGCCTGATTCTCCAGATGTGTTCACAGCTGAGTTCTTCCCATCTTTCAGCTTTAGTAAATTGGAAATAGGGACGTCTCTTGTTAATTTTTACTTCTTCTCTTAGTGGCCTTGGACATCTTTTCCGATGTGGTTGGTGTGCTTTTAAGAGTTGTGTTTGCTGCCTGTGGTGGTTTGTTGTTGTTTGGTTTGTCCCCTGCCCCTGGAGTCCTGGTAACTCTGCAGCTGAGGGACGTTAACCCTTGTTTGCCATATGTTGCCAATACTGATGAGGGTCTGCTTTGCATAGTGAATAGCACAGAGTCTCCTAAGTGAGAGTGAGTAGTGAGCAATGTTTATTATGGGTTCCTGAGTGAAAAAATGAAATTTATGCTCTGGCAATGCTGAAGTATGCGTGGGCAGCCCGAATATGGTGGTTCTGTTGAACTTGTCCATGTTGGGTTTATGGTCTAAGTTCATGAGGACAACTGGCCAGGTCTCTTCCTCATTATGGGTTTCTATGAGTTCTCCTGTACCTGCTTGAAGAGAAGCCTGCTCTGGCTTTCTCGGCACGATTGTTTTATGACCTGATAATTATGAATAAGGTAGACTATTAACCACATCAGTGTAGACATGTTCAGCTGCACTGACCTTTGATGCATGTCCACACGTTCTGAACACTGCTCTTTCTCGTCCCGGAGTTCTCCCCCACTCCAGCGGGAAGCCTTGTGGTCATGTGTGATGCACAGAGGTTGTCCTTCCCCAGCTGCCATTAATAGCTGTTTGGACGAGATGATGCCGTCTTAGATCTCCGCCTCTTGGTCTAGACCTTTGCTAACACAGCCGATCTGGTCTGATCTTAGAAGCTGAGCAGGTCCTGCCTTTCATGAAAGAATGATGGTGACCCTTGGTCTCCATGGATCTTCACAGGGCATCCTGATGCATCTGGAGATCAAACACCTGACCAAAGCAGCTTAGGGGAGGCTGAGGTTGGAGCCTGAGGCAGCTGGTCACATGACATCCACAGCCAAGAGCAGAGAGAGAAAATGGACCCAAGCTGCCTGCTAGCCTCTTAAGCACAGTTAGCTTTCTTCACTCTGTACATTTCATGGCCCAGCCTAGGTGCCTCCCACAATGAGCTGCATCTCCCTCACCAGTTCACAGCTGTGAATCTCCCATCACTGTAGCTGCAGCCAGCCTTTCCAGACACTTCCTCAACTGAGACTCTTCTCTAAGCAGCATCTGAATTGTGGCAAGTTGACATTTAAAACTTAACTGTCACACAGGCATTTCCAAGACATTGTTAGCCAGACAGTAGTGGTGAGTTAAAGGCCATCCTGGTCTACAAAGCCAGTTCCAAGACAATCAAGGCTACTTAGAACAAAACAAAATCCAAGACATTGTTATGGAAGTTAGTATTTGAGCATCAATGGAGAAGGCAGCTCCAGTCGGGAGAGAGTGAATAATTATTTATTTATTTATATATATATATATTTTTTAAAGATTTACTTATTTATTATGTATACAACATTCTGCCTCCATGTATGCCCACATGCCAGAGGAAGGCGCCAGATCTCATTACAGATGGTTGTAAGCCACCATGTGGTTGCTGGGAATTGAACTCAGGACCTCTGGAAGAGCAGAAGGTGCTCTAAACCACTGAGCCATCTCTCCAGCCCCCGAGAGTGTATAATTTAAACCCTAAATTAATCTCAAAAGCCTATTAAAGGCCAGACCCAAACAAAGCCTACACCATTTCCAGGGCAGGGAGAGAGGTTGATCAATCCACACCAGACAATCTGTCTGTTCTGATGCTTTGGTGCTGGAGGGCAGGTTCATGGGCAGGAAGCTGTCCCGCTGGAGCAGTGCTGTGTGCACGCATTCAGACGTTGGAGTCTTTGAAACTGATGGAGGCACACACAGTCTTAAGAGTTAGTAAAGTATCGGGTCTGCCCTGGAGAATCCCGGCTCACCCGTGAAGAAGGGAGACAACACACCATGCTTGGGAGGTCCGGTAGTGGGAGTATGAGACAGGGGGTCACACGCCATCTCAAGTCCAGACGCAGAGACTGGCTAGTGCTGTGTAGGCTCCTGTGCCCATGGAGCTGATGCCTTCCCCACCGTGAGGGACTGGGAGCCAGAGTCAGTACTTTCTCCGTGAAGTTGTTTGCCTGTCAGACACTCCGTCACAGCCACGAGGAAAATGACTGCTTCAGAATGTGAGGTCACCACTTCCCCACAGTCCCACCTAAGGAGCCAAGCCAAGGGTTGTAGCAGTGGGAGCTAGGCCGAGCTCTCCCTGTGTGTGACCAGTAGCCGCGCGGGGGAAGGGGGGGTTGGGCTGTGCAACCCCTCTCTGTGCTCTAGACCAGACTTTCCTGTCTTTACCATCCCAGGGGGCCCTGGAAAGGAGAAAGAATCGTGGGGGGAGGGCTGGTTCTTCCCCTGAGGGGCTGGCCTGGAGTTAGAATTCCTGATTTCTTACATACCTGGAATTTAGTCTGTGTCCATGCAACACAGGCAGACTGGACAAGCAGTCCAGTGACTGCAACGATGAAGGCAGGGAATGTCCATTCAGTGTGTGACGCAGGCCTGCCAGTGGCTGCACCTTCTTGGTCTTTGGTCTTTTGTCAGAGCTGATAAGTTTGCATAAATTACAGACTCACCTACAGTATCCTGAAGTGTGAACTCTGCCCCTCAGCCCTTTGTTTACTCCCCTGGGAGGAATATCTCCTCCTGCCCAGGGAATGCCTCAGCAAGGGCTTCTAGTTTAACATTCAAAGATTTCATGCACACAACCGCCATTCAGCCCCACACTGTGAGACCCGCCGCCTCTCAGCACATCTAGGGAAAGTGATGAGAACCACCGTGTTTACCATTGCTTCTCTGTCCCTACCTTGAATAAAAAGTTTGAGAAGCCCAGGATCCCTTCACCTGGAACCCCCTGGTTCTGTCGGGTCTCTAATCTGATTCGGTTCCTCTGCACCTGTCACTGGAGAGAAAGTGGAAACACCGATCAAGGTTGTTTGTTTTGTGACTGCTGAGTAGTTTTTTATTCTGGTTTTTTTTTTTTGGTTGCTTTTGTTCTCTTATCTTTGAAACATTTAATTTTGCCGAATTAAATGTCAGACCCCAGCATATATAATAAACTTGAGCCCCATGAGCACCTGTAACTCTGAAGAATACAAAGAATACAAAGACCTGCTTTCATGCACAGCACAACACACACACACACGTATGAACACACCCACACATGCAAATGCACACACGCATGCATATAGTCATACAGATACATACAAGTTAATTAGTTCTTTTTTTAAAAAAACAAGATGGAGAAAGTAATAAATTGTGTATCTATTAGTAAATAGGATTTAGTAGAATTAGGTGAGGAGGTGCTTAGGCCAGCCCCTCCTGTGCAGAGGGCAGTCAGTAAAGTGAGCCTTTCCTTGCTGATGGGAGCCCTGCCTGCCTCTCTGGGTGTCCTTAACCTAGTTTGGCAGCTGCTCCCAGGAAACACAGCTCTACCCTGCTTCCCGTGGTTGTCATTGTTCTTGCTGCATCATTAGCAGTGGAATTCAGACAGATTCCCATTTCAATTGTGTGTGTATAGATGTTTAGTGCACACCTTTAGTCCCAGCCCTTGTAGGGTCCAACCACCCAGGCACCAGCTAGGAACAGATCAGCCAAGGGAAACGTACCTATTGTTCCAAAGGAAATCCCTTACACACCAACCATTGTAGATAGAATCACCTACCAGTACACACTCATCCTGACAAACGCCAGCCAACCTGGGGTCCTGAACCTTAGAAATCCCTCACCCCAACCTCTGCTACTATAAAAACCCCACCCCAACTGAGCCTGAGACTCTCTGATTGTGCCCGTGCCTTGGACGTGTGGAGAGTCCAAGTTCAAATTTGAATAAGAATAAAGACTCTTTGCTTTTTTTTTTTTTTTTTTTTGGATTTTCGAGACAGGGTTTCTCCGTAGCTTTTTGGTTCCTGTCCTGGAACTAGCTCTTGTAGACCAGGCTAACCTCGAACTCACAGAGATCCGCCTGCCTCTGCCTCCCAAGTGCTGGGATTAAAGGCGTGCGCCACCACTGCCTGGCTTAAGACTCTTTGCTTTTGACTTGGTCTCCTTGTTGGTTTTTGGGGGACTCCGCGATTTAGTCCTAACATCCCCCAGGAGGCAGAACCATGGAGATAGATCTTAATGAGTGTGAAGCCAGCTTGGTTTATCTACATAAAAAGTTCCAAGTCAGCCAGGGCTATGTAGTGAGATCTTGTCTAAAAAATGATATATATAAAATTTATTATTTATATAAATTTATATTTCTATAAATTTAATTATATATTAAGTTTATGTAATTTATTTTATATACTTTTATATAGTAAATTTATAATTCATATAATTATATATTATATGGAAATATATATATATATATGAGAGGGAGAGAAAATGCATGTGTGTGTGTGTGCGTGTGTGAGTGTGCGCACGCATGTGTGTGTGCATTATCTGGTCTTCAGCAGAAGCATTTGTCTGAGTCCCTCATCAGCTGTCCTGGAAGTAGAAGTCCTGGCTTGGGTTCTTACTCGGGTGCCACTTTTAGCATATGTAGTTTGAGCAAAAGCTTCTGCAGTGGCTCTGCCTAGCAGGGATAGTGCAGCGGCTAGCATATTGCTTTCTTCCCAGAATAACTGACTTTTGCTTTTTGTTTTAATTTTCAGTAAGCTTGTCAAAGATGGCAGTGACTTTATCAACTTTGGATACTTGTGAAAGCTCCTTCACACCCCTGGTGGTCATAGAACTTGCCCAGGATGTCAAAGAAGAAACCAAAGAATGGCTCAAAAACAGAATTGTCGCTAAAAAGAAAGATGGAGGTTAGTGCAACAGCCACTCCACCAGCCTGGCCATGGTCAGTCCCTGATGTGTGTCGGCAAATGTGTTTCCATGCTATGTCTTGGCTCTCTATCGCTTGTCTGTGACTTGAAAGAAGATCTTAAATCAGCACTACACTAAAATCCCCACTAGATTGTGGGCCATGGGAGTGGCTTTCCTCATGTTTCTAAAGGCCACGCCTACCACTTGGCACAGGTGAGGTAGGAGTGTCATATGTACTTTTCATGTGAGCAGACATGTCGTGGTGCACCATGGGTTGTTGTGACCCCAAGGGAAGGATACGTCTGGTACCTCCTGTAGACACTGCTGTCCAGACGGGGAAAATGGAGGCTGATTCCTAGACTGTGGAGTGAACATCCTGTTAGTGGATGGATCGTCAGAGCTGTGCACAGCACACAAACATGAACCTTAAACGTGGCTGCCGTAGTAAAGGGAGGGAAAGCAAGGCATTGGGGACACTGACAACTTCTGACACTGTGGCTTAGCAGGAAGTGGGCTGGAGAAAAGTCGAGTTTGACTAACCAGACAGCTCCTAGAATGCATAGAACCACTAGCTGTCCCAGCTGAGGACTGAAGTCAGGCCCTTAACGGTGCTGTAAACCAATGTCTTCAGAATAGACTTTTCAAATCAAGGCGCTTATAAGTAATTGAGCCAGAAGGAAAGACTACTTGCTTGCTGAAGTTTGAACTCTTTCCAGCTGGGCCGGAGCCTCCGCGTCGCATTTCTGTGATTTAGGAGTAACTCCAGAGAGTCCCAGCTTCCTTTGCTTCGCCCTGTGTCTCCAGGGGCTCTCAGGAGAAGGAAGGGACAGACGCACTTTCACACTTGGGCAGTTATAGGAGAGGGTACCTTGGATCCCTCAGGGAGGATGTGCATTTACTATTTTATCATTATTATTATTTATATTTAGGTTATCATTTTATTATTTCTAAACTGCTGTTTTAACTGTGGTAATATAACAATGAGGGGCTTGTCAGATTTGAGATGGCTAAGACCAAATGGGAGGGCATTGGGCTCCTGAAGAAAATGCAGGGTCTCCCCCACCTCCACCAGTGCTTCCCAGGAGCCTTAGCCTCACTCTTGGTGAAGGCTGGGTGCTGAGATGGTGGGGCCAGGCTTCTGTGGAGGTCTGCAGGGAGATCCCTCCCCAAGCCTCACATCAAACTCAGTTTATAAAGTGCAAGAACAAGGCTTCCAATAATCCAGGCGGCATACTGAATTCCTCGTGGCATCTGACCCATTTAGGAATGAAGAATCCAGGGGGTTATCTAGGCAGTGACCTGTTGAGGCTGTGCCTGATGAATTCACCTGAGCTCTCTGAACCAGCCCCTCGGGGTCCCTTTCTTAAACAAGAGTCAAAAGAAGAAAGATTGTCACGTGTCTGATGGAGGGAGATGGAGACGCAGATGAAGGGGGCAGCAGGTGCCAGGAGGAGGAGGAAGAGCTCAGCCCTCAGAGGCAGAAAGAGATGTCACCCACAAAGGAAGAATGTGTTAGAAAGACCGTCTTGTAGGAAAAGCAGCTTTTACAAAGTGAAAACATAAAATCCTGTGTGAAAAATCAAAGTGGTTGAGGCAATGTTAGCAAGACCTGCAAGAACAAAGAGCAGAATGTGCGGGCAAAGAAAATACCAGCAGCCCAGAGGCTGACACCACCTAGAAGGATGGGTACGGGAGAACTCAGTAGAGATGGACTCAGGGCCCATTCTGGCTTTCAGGGAGAGAGATGCCCTGTGACCAGCTGCACCAGTGAAAGTTCCAGAGCCCTGGTGATTAAGATGCAACAGTCCTACAGGAACAAAGAGAGCAAAGTCAGGTCAGTCTAGTGCAGAGTGGTGGGATCCTCTCAGTTCTGAAGGAATTCTGGACATACCTAGCCAACAGTGGAAGGGCGGAGTACAGAGGGGCCGCTCCAGCAAAGCCAGTGACAAGTCCCCTTACGGCAGTGTGTGTAGGAGACTTAGCAGAACGCAGGAGATAGGACTGGTAAGTGCAGTAGGCTAGGCAGTGGGTAAGACAGACTTTGGTGAGAGTCACCAGCTAGCCTGACTTGTCTCAGCACCAGTGGCCACACCACGTCTCCTCCCATAGAGGGGCCTTGCTCGCACTCAAGATCAGCTTTGGTTTTCCATGCAAATGGCACTCAGCTAGGACTTGAAGATGTGTTAGGGAAAGACACACAGAGCAGAGTGTGTAGGTAGCTGCAGCCCCGTGAAAGCGTTACACTTGTGCAAGCTTTGAACACAGTCCAGCTTTACAAAAGCATCAGGCAGAGGGACTCTGCTCACAGGAATGGCATTGTTGCCCACCCTCCAGTTCAGTGCTTGTGTAAGTAGGGGCTACAGAGATGGTTCATGTAGGAGATAGAAAGATGGCTCAGTAGGGGCTGGAAAGACAGTGGTGGCTGCTCGGGACATGGGTCAGTAGGGGCTGGGGAGATGGGTCAGTGGGAAAAGTGCTTGGCATATAAGCAGGAGGACCTCTTTTTATTTCTGACACATTGGTAAAATTCTGTAATCCCAGAACAGGGGCTGCAGATTCAGGGGAATCCCTATGAGCTACTGGCTAGACATTCTAGCTAAATTGGTGAGTTTCAGTTCAGTGAGAGACTGTGTCTCAAAAAGTAAGGAGGAGGACAATTGAGGAAGACAATCGATATCAACCTCTTGTCCACATGTGCACATCCACACATGTCTGTTCACATGTGCACTTGTGTGCACACATATGCACAAACACAAGCATTAACTTCTATCCCAACTTCCTTATCTTCCTTTTTACTTGGATAACAGATTTAAATTGCTAATATAATTTCATTTCCTTATACCAAGAAGAAACATTGTATCTTTATAGATTTTCATTTTCTGAAAGTTTGTGTCTGCTTTGTTCTGTACTGCGCTGTCTTGTGTTTGACAGGTGCCCAGTTGCTGTTTAGACCACTGTATAAGTGTGAGAAGGAAACAATAGGAAACCAGAATTTGTACCTCGTTGGTGCCTCCAACATCAGACTGTTGCTTGGGGCAGAAGCGGTGGGGCTGGTGAAGGAGTGCACAGATTCGGCCATGCGGGCCTTCACCTATGGGACCCGCCACAGCTTCAAAGGCTTCCATGGTAAGCAGAGGATTGGTTTGCTGCAGAGACATGTTTGATGGGATCAGGAGTCTACCAGCACCGGGTAGTCAAAATCTAGGCTTTGTGGGCCTTGCTCTGCTCAGCTGTTTTGAGCAAAACAGTAGCCCTGAACCGTAAGGAGATGATGAACCGGCTGTGTGGAGTCCTTGAGCCGTAACTTACCTCCCTGGGGTGAATGAACACAAGTTAGAATGGATGCCTTGTTTACATTGTTCTAATTTCAGTAATAAATATGTGTGGACAGATGTAAGAATTCAGGATTTAGGAACCTCACTTCTTAAGTTTTCTGGCTCCTTCTGATGTGGCGGGATGATGGGCATGTCCTGGCATTTAAGGGCATCTCAAGGAGAATATTCTGGAGAAAACCAGGGCCTCAGGCTGTCTGAAGGAGGGGCCCTTGTTTCAAGTGCGTGGGCTCCTGGCAGCACTGATGGAGTTAGGACATGGACTTAGGCCTTTGGTACTAGCTCTCACTGTAAAGCTTTTCGCCTCAGTGATACCCTGGTCTGGGTAACATTTTCCTCAATAAAAAGATTTATCTGTCAGAGCTGCTGTTTTCTTACAAACTTTATTCTCCACGGTGCTTGGTTCCAGGATGGAGTGAGGCCCATCCTCACTCCATCCTGTGACAGTTTGGTAGGGCCTTTCCCGTTTAAGCCAGCTTTTCCACCTGTGTTAGAAACATTGGTGCAGTTCAAAACGTGCAAGCTTAGACTGACTCTCCCTCCCTCCCTCCCTCCCTCCCTCCCTCCCCCATTAAACATGTCCTGCATTCAAAGAGTGTAGTCGCTGACCATTGCTTCAAAATAAGACCAGGGCAATGTGTGCTGATGGACTTTGGTGCCAGAGAAACTTTGAAATGACTGAAGGCAGAGTTAGAAATCAGAGCGGACGTGGTACCCTCATATCCAAAGTGCTTTGCCGCCTGTTAACTTTCCAGTTGTACTTTGGCAGCTCCATAGGTTGTTTATGTTTATGGCATTTCTATAACCACAAGCATAAGTTAATAACGTAATTAACGCTATTACTTTTACATTGCTACTAGAAAGTAACCAGAAAGTTTTGTTGTATTTTAGATAACAATGACGACTTCCTCACAATGGCCGAGTGTCAGTTCATTATCAAACATGAACTTGAGAATCTTAGAGCTAGAGATGAGAAGATGATCCCTGGCTACCCCCAGGCCAAACTGTACCCCGGGAAGTCACTGAGTAAGTCTCTGAAAGCCAGCTTCTCACCTATCGACTCTTAACACTCTATTAATCATGATTGTTCAGAGAATTTACAGCCTCCTGTTGCCTGTAAGTCGCCTGCTTTGTCCTGTTGCTACATACCAGGTTCTTGCAACATCTAGCCAGCTGGAAGTTGCATGTAAATCAGGCTCTTATTGGCCACGTCAAGTCAGCAAAATTCACTTTATAGTCAATGAAAATCCGCGTGGGCGGGGCATGAAAGGCAGACATGGTCTCATCTTTGAACAAGTCCTGCTCTTGTTCTCCCAGACCTCAGAGGGGTGACCTTAAACAGAGTTGCGTAGGGCATCCTAACAAAGCAGGTAGCATGGGTGAGCATTGGTGTAACAGTCCCGTGATGGGGATGGTGGCTTCAGAATGGAGCACACCAGTGTACTGCAGCAAGGTCTTGGAACTCTGGTTCCAGGCTCCCAGCTCTGGTCCCTGCATCTGGTTTTCTTTTTAACTCCATCCCCACCTCCCACCCTCCCATTCCCCAACTCCCCCAACCTCATGAAAGAGTTTCACTCTAGACCAGGCTAGCCTCAAACTCACAGAGATCACCTGACTGTGTCACAAGAGCTGGAATTACAGACGTGTGTCCCTGCACCTGGCCTGGTTTCAGCCTCCATGCAAGAGAGCAGAGCTTCAAGACCCACTCCATGTTTCTTAGATGTGCTCTCAAGCCTGTCTGCTCAAGCAAGGTCCAGGCAAAGGGTGCCTGCCTGGTTTGCTGCTGTGCGCCTGCCTGCCTGGTTTGCTGCTGTGCACCTGCCTCTCTGGTTTGCTGTTGTGTGCCTTCCCACCTGGTTTGCTGCTGTGCACCTTCAGGCTCTGTGGATAGGACAGGTTCTCATTTGCATGTTTTCACAGTATTGATTTCTGCAGACATCAGGCCTTTTCATCTGTTTGTGATAAAGTATTCAGAGGTTGGGTCTCTGCCTGCCTTGGCCTCTGTTCTGAACCCATGTGATACTGTCCTCCATAGAAAGGGCAGGCCTCCCATGGGCTTCAGCAAAGCCTGGCGTATCAACATGCTATACAATTGAGCACGTCCTGCTGTATTTAGGATGTGCAGAGCAATCCAGTTTGAGGAATAGGTTCCCAAGAGCCAGTCAAAGAACTGGGGACAGCCCCTGCTCCTGTAGCCCCGGGAGTCCCACATCTAGACCAAGCTACTCAACTCTTACATATTTGCAGAGGGCCTCGGTTAGTCCCATGCTCCCTGGTTGTTGGCTTAGATTTTTGTGGTTTATAATTTTTTTTCCTTTTTTTTAAAATTTATTTATTCCCCACCGCCGCCTCCCCTTTCTCTCCCCCTCCGCCAGTCAAGTTCCCCTCCCTCGTCAGCCCAAAGAGCAATCAGGGTTCCCTGTCCTGTGGGAAGTCCAAGGACCGCCCACCTCCATCCAGGTCTAGTAAGGTGAGCATCCAAACTGCCTAGGCTCCCACAAAGCCAATACATGCAGTAGGATCAAAAACCCATTGCCATTGTTCTTGAGTTCTCAGTAGTCCTCATTGTCCGCTATGTTCAGCAAGACCGGTTTTATCCCAGGCTTTTTCAGACCCAGGCCAGCTGGCCTTGGTGAGTTCCCAATAGAACATCCCCATTGTCTCAGTGTGTGGGTGTACCCCTCGCGGTCCTGAGTTCCTTGCTCGTGCTCTCTCTCCTTCTGCTCCTGATTTGGACCTTGAGATTTCAGTCCGGTGCTCCAATGTGGGTCTCTGTCTCTGTCTCCTTTCATCGCCTGATGAAGGTTAATATTCAGGAGGATGCCTATATGTTTTTCTTTGGGTTCTCCTTCTTATTTAGCTTCTCTAAGAACCCGAATTATAGGCTCAATGTCCTTTATTTATGGCTAGAAACCAAATATGAGTGAGTACATCCCATGTTCCTCTTTTTGGGTCTGGCTTACCTCACTCAGGATAGTGTTTTCTATTTCCATCCATTTGCCTGCAAACTTCAAGAAGTCCTTGTTTTTTACTGCTGAGTAGTACTCTAATATGTATATATTCCATACTTTCTTCATCCATTCTTCAATTGAAGGGCATCTAGGTTGTTTCCAGGTTCTGGCTATTACAAACAATGCTGCTATGAACATAGTAGAGCATATACTTTTGTTGTATGATAAGGCCTCTCTTGGGTATATTCCCAAGAGTGGTATTGCTGGGTCCATGGGTAGGTTGATCCCGAATTTCCTGAGAAACCTCCACACTGCTTTCCAGAGTGGTTGCACAAGTTTGCATTCCCACCAGCAATGGATGAGTGTACCCCTTTCTCCACAACCTCTCCAGCAAAGGCTATCATTGGTGTTTTTGATTTTCGCCATTCTGACAGGTGTAAGATGGTATCTTAAAGTTGTCTTGATTTGCATTTCCCTGATCGCTAAGGAAGTTGAGCATGACCTTAGGTGTCTTTTGGCCATTTGAACTTCTTCTGTTGAGAGATCTCTGTTCAACTCAGTGCCCCATTTTATAATTGGGTTGATTAGCCTTTTACGGTCTAGTTTCTTGAGTTCTTTATATATTTTGGAGATCAGACCTTTGTCAGTTGCGGGGTTGGTGAAGATCTTCTCCCAGTCAGTGGGTTGCCTTTCTGTCTTAGCAACAGTGTCCTTTGCTTTACAGAAGCTTCTCAGTCTCAGGAGGTCCCATTTATTCAATGAGGCCCTTACTGTCTGTGCTGCTGGGGTTATACGTAGGAAGTGGTCTCCTGTGCCCACGTGTTGTAGAGTACTTCCCACTTTCTCTTCAATCAGGTTCAGTGTGTTTGGACTGATATTGAGGTCTTTCACCCACTTGGACTTGAGTTTTGTGCATGGTGATAGATATGGGTCTATTTTCATTCTTCTACAGATTGACATCCAGTTTTGCCAGCACAATTTGTTGAAGATGCTCTCTTTTTTCCATTGTATACTTTTAGCTCCTTTATCGAAAATCAGGTGTTCATATGTTTGTGGGTTAAAGTCAGGGTCTTCTATTCGATTCCATTGGTCGACTTCTCTGTTTTTATGCCAATACCAAGCTGTTTTCAATACTGTAGCTCTGTAATAGAGTTTGAAGTCAGGGATGGTAATGCCTCCAGACGTTCCTTTATTGTATAAGATTGTTTTGGCTATCCTGGGTTTTTTGTTTTTCCATATAAAGTTGATTATTGTCTTCTCCAGATCTGTGAAGAATTTTGATGGGATTTTGATGGGGATTGCATTGAATCTATAGATTGCTTTTGGTAGAATTGCCATTTTTACTATGTTGATCCTCCCAATCCAAGAGCAAGGGAGATCCTTCCATTTTCTGGTGTCCTCTTCTATTTCTTTCTTCAAAGACTTGAAGTTCTTGTCAAATAGATCTTTCACTTCCTTGGTCAGGGTTACCCCAAGATATTTTATGCTCTTTGTGGCTATCGTGAAAGGTGATGCTTCTGTGATTTCCCTCTCTGTTTCCTTATCCTTAGTGTATAGGAAGGCAACTGATTTTTTGGAGTTGATCTTGTATCCAGCCACGCTACTAAAGGTGTTTATCAGCTGTAGGAGTTCTTTGGTAGAATTTTTGGGGTCGCTTATGTATACTATCATGTCATCTGCAAATAACGAAAGCTTAACTTCTTCCTTTCCAATACGAATCCCCTTGATCCCCTTATGTTGTCTTATTGCTATTGCTAGAACTTCAAGCACTATATTGAAGAGGTATGGAGAGAGTGGACATCCTTGTCTTGTTCCTGATTTTAGTGGGATGGCTTTGAGTTTTTCTCCATTTAATTTAATGTTAGCTGTCGGTTTGCTGTAGATAGCTTTTATTATATTTAGGTATGACCCTTGTATCCCTATTCTCTCCAAGACCTTTATCATAAAGGGGTGTTGAATTTTGTCGAATGCTTTTTCCGCATCTAATGAAATGATCATATGGTTTTTTTCTTTCAGTCTATTTATATGGTGGATTACATTGATAGATTTGCGTATGTTGAACCAGCCCTGCATCTCTGGGATGAAGCCTACTTGATCATAATGGATAATTTTTCTGATGTGTTCTTGAATTCGGTTTGCCAGTATTTTATTGAGAATTTTTGCGTCGATATTCATGAGTGAGATAGGCCTGTAATTCTCTTTCTTGGTTGGGTCTTTGTGTGGTTTTGGTATCAGGGTAACTGTAGCTTCATAAAAGGAATTTGGCAATGACTTTTCTGTTTCTATATTGTGAAATACGTTAAGGAGTATAGGTATTAGCTCTTCTTGGAAGTTCTGGTAGAATTCTGCGTTGAACCCATCTGGTCCTGGGCTTTTTTTGGAAGGGAGATTTTTGATAACAGTTTCTAGTTCTTCGCGACTAACAGGTCTATTTAGATCATTCACCTGGTCTTGGTTTAGCTTTGGTATATGGTACTTATCTAAAAAAATGTCCATTTCTTTTGCATTTTCCAGTTTTGTGGCATACAGGCTTTTATAGTAAGATCTAATGATTCTCTGGATTTCCTCTGTGTCTGTGGTTATGTCCCCCCTTTCATTTCTGATTTTATTTATTTGCGTGTTCTCTCTCTGTTGTTTAGTTAGTTTGGATAGGGGTTTGTCGATCTTGTTGATTTTCTCCAAGAACCAACTTTTTGTTTCATTGATTCTTTGGACTGTTTTCTGTGTTTCTATTTTGTTGATTTCTGCCCTCAGTTTGATTATTTCCAGTCTTCTACTCCTTCTGGGCAGATCTGCTTTTTTTTTTTTTTCTAAAGCTTTCAGGTGTGCTGTTAAATCCCCAATGTATGCTTTCTCCGTTTTCTTTAAGTGGGCACTTAGTGCTATGAACTTTCCTCTTAGCACAGCTTTCATCGTGTCCCATAGGTTTGAATATGTTGTCTATTTATTTTCATTAAATTTAAGGAAGACTTTAATTGGTTTATAATTTTTAAAGTCTTAAAACAATCTTTTAAAATTTACACAACATAAAGCAAGAAAACACTTCCCTGGGGCAATTTACACATTTCATCTTTATTTTCTCTAAAGGGGGATCATGAGAAGAAGAGAGACATAATTTTTCTGTGTCTGAATTTGAGGATGAGTTGAATTTTTGTTAGGTATCCCTTCTGCCCTATGGTGCAGTCTCCCCAGCACTTCTCTTCCTTACCTCACACCCTCAGAAAGGTATTGCTCAAGAGAGCATTCCTCAAACACAGGGACTGTAGAGACATACCCGCCATCTCAAGAGAACACTCTTCACACATGGGGACTGTAGAGACACTCCTGCCATCTCAAGAGAGCACTCTTCACAGACAGGGAGACTGTAGAGACACACTTGTCATCTCAAGAGAACACTCTTCTTTTTTTTTAAAAAAATATTTATTATTATGTATATAAAATTCTGTCTACATGTATGCCTGCAGGCCAGAAGAGGGCACCAGACCTCATTACCATTACAGATGGTTGTGAGCCACCATGTGGTTGCTGGGAATTGAACTCAGGACCTTTGGAAGAGCAGGCAATGGTCTTAACCACTGAGCCATCTCTCCAGCCCCAAGAGAACACTCTTCACACATGGGGACTGTAGAGACACACCCACCATCTAAAGAGAGCACTACACACGGGGACTGTAGAGCCACACTTGCCATCTTACATCTTAACTATTGTGGATGTTTGCTCATCTATATTTCCTAGTTAATTCTTGTGTGTTCCTTTTGTAGGGCACTTGGTATTCCACCATGTGGCTGTCATCATATTGCCGAATAATACATTTCCTCCATTTTTTGAATCATAGAGAAAGTAGGAAGAGTACCAGGAGTGGCCTTTAGATCCCAGGTCTTGGGATAGACACTAACAAGCAGTCCTTCCTGTGCCCATTGTCTTCGGTTCACACACTGGTTTTTACGTGAGATCATCATCAGATCTAAAAAGCATCCGTGCTCCTGCTCAGTTTAGGTTGTGTGTCTGGGCCGTGGCTGTTACCTGACTCTCAGCTCTGTGAGGTTGTGGTTGCCTGTGTCGTGGGTACGGTGAATGGTGCTCTAGTGTGAGCCGCTCTTGGTGCCTTCTGCCGAGCTCTGCCCATCTAATTAATTTTCCTGCAGAACACCACTTACTGCTTTTTCAAATGATAGGGATACTTTATTTTTATTGTGTTTCTGACCATTTAGTTCTATTTGGTCTATAATTATTTTTTCATTTTTTATCATTTGTATTTTGCTGCTATTTTCTTGATCAATCATAACCCTAGAGGTTGTCAACTACGGGAATTTCATCATGTTTCTGCCAATTTGCTCTCTCCCCTGACTCCGTGACCTTTCCTTGCCCCTTTCCATGTTGACCCCTCCCTGCCCCACATGGTCCCTTCTGCTGTGTGTCCTGTCATGTCTCTGGCCTCTGAGCCACGCTGGGCTGTCGTGACAGCTGCATTTTGTTGCTCTCGCTGGTCTCTGTGGCTCTTAGGAGTTGAGTGCAGCATTTCTTTCTTCTCGTCCACACGGCAGTTACCTGCTGTCTTCAGTTTTTCCTTTTAGAAGCAGGGTCCCACTCTGTACTCTCGGGTGGCCTAGAACTTGCTGTGCAGTTTGGTTGCTCTTCCCTCTCTCTCCCACTTGCTGGGAAGGCACCTCTGGCTCTGTCTGTCTGCTGGTGAGTGTTTTTTAGTTTAGTTTTGCTTTTTTATGATTGAGGCAACTTATTAGCCCAGTATCCTTTGTTCTATTGCTTCTTGTTGGCAGCTGACACATGTCTGTATCTTGCAGACAACCAGAAGTTGACTGAGACACCAGACAGTATCCTGAGCATAGGACACCTCAGAGCCTGCACCCATAGTAACACACTTCTTCAACAAGGCCATACCCACTCCAGCAAAGCCACGCCTCCTAATAGTACCATTCCCTATGAGATTTTGGGGGGTCAAAGTTCCACACCCTGATACCCAACAGCCACAGGGAACAAGGGCTGTGCTGGTCATCCCTTGCTGTGGAACCCTCCATTCCTCTGGCATCTGCTCTCTGGTCAGATCCCGGAGGAGTGGCCTGCTGCCCCCCCTGCACAGAGCCACTGTCAGGATTCCCCAGCATCAGCCAAAGCAGCTGCACCATTAGCCCTGTTGTGCCTTACCTAGCTGAAGTGTCCTGCAGTGTCCTGCAGACCCGGTCAGATTTTGTTTGTTTGCTACTTATTCAGTGGCTCTCCAATACTGTAGTCACTCCAATACTGATGGGCATTGTTGGCACCCTGGAAGGAGGGAATCTGGCTGAAGTCCCTGCCTTCTTTTGTTAGGCCCAAACACCCTCCTATTTTCCTTTCAAGGTAAGAGTCCTTCCTTGTAATTACAGTCAAGCAGACACAAGGAGGCTGGAGGGTTTTAAAGGAGCCAGCCTCTATTTTTAGAGCTGAAACCAGAACCATGCTCTGGCATTGATGGTGACGAGAAGCTGGCAATTCAGGACTCGAAGCCTCTCCAGAGGCTCCATTTACTGTCCTATTTTTAGGGATATAGAAGCGTGCCTGCTGGGGAGCCTGGCACGGTGGAGTCACCTCTTATAGGAGAACCCGGGACTTCAGTGCCACAAGCCAGCCCAGGGTTTAAACACCGGTGTAGCAGCGGGGAAGAAACTGATGGGGAGGCCCTGCTGCAGCTGTGCACCCCCACACTGGGACCAGGACTGGGGCCTGTGGGTAACCGACTTAAGCCATATTAGCCAAAGAAAAGTCCTCAGAAATTCCAACATAAAGAACTTACAAAATGGCCTTGACAGCACCCAAAGCTGATGTAACTCAAACCATATGTCTTCTCACCCTCGCAGCTGGTATTTTGGGCTGGTACCTTTTCCAGTCATTAAGAAGGCTTATTCTTCACAGGCCACCTTTTAAATCATCTCCTCCTCTGGGTAGAGCTTATGTGAGTGACATAATTGTAAGGGAACCTGATTATTTTCCCTCCAGTTAGCACAGCCTACCGTAGGCCTGCCTTTCTTAATGCAAATTCCATTGTACCAACAGCCCTGCTAAAGAAACTCATGGGAAAAGTCCCCCAGCTCCCCAGTGTGCCCTTAGGACAGAAGACCCCTTCACTAGTGGTCAGTCTCAGTACCTACAGCAGATCAGAGGTTTGGGTCCGTCAGGCACTGCCAGGAAGCGCTGCTCTGCTTGTGTTTGTCTTTTCCACGTTGTGTGTGATTTTCCAACCATGTTTGCCACCCAGCTGCATGGAAAGGGAGGGAGCTCAATGTGATTTTTGAAGTTTCTGTTTGTGGCTGTCTTTGTCGTTCTGTTGGAAAGAAAGAAACAAGTGAAGGTGCCTGCTGTCCAGAGGGGAAGGAACCGCAGTGCGGGGGTTAGAGCAGGGGCAGCAATGTCAGATGGGTCCAGATTTCAGATTCAAGTTGAAGAGGTGAGATAATGTATGTATATAATAATTTCAGTATTGGGGGACTGGAGAGATGGCTCACAGGTTAAAAGTGCGCATTACTCTTACAGAGAACGTGGGTTTGGTTCCCAGCACCCACATGGCGGCTCACAACCATCTGTAGTGACTCCAGTTCCAGGGAATCCAGAGCCTCTTCTGACCTCTGAGGGTCCTAGGTGCCTGTTGAAATAGGAACAGCGGGGCTACATCCCCAGCACCCCGGCCGCCTGGCTATCTTATGCCCGAAATAACAACACACAAACTGTATTCATTTAAACACTGCTTGGCCCGGCTAGTTCCAGTTTCTTATTGGCTAGCTCTTTTCTAATTGATCTAACCCATTTCTAATAATGTGTGTAAGCACCCCAAGGTGCGCTTACTGGGGAGATTCTAGCCTACATCCATCCTGGGTCGGAGCTTCATTGTGTGTGTCTGCTTCCAAGAGCAGAGCATGGCGTCTCTGCTCCAGAGAGCAGAGCTGTCGAGTCTGAGCTCACTTCCTCTTCCTCCCAGCATCCTGTTCTGTTTACTCCACCCACCTATGTTCTAAGCTATGAGGCCAAGCAGTTGGTTTATTATAATTAACCAATGACCTTCCTCCATCAGGTGCCCACATGCCACAGTGCATATATGCAGGCGAATATTCACACACATAAAGTAGATATCTAAAGAATTTCAGTATTATTCGCAGTGCCAAAAAGCAGAAACTATTATTCTGGGAGACGTTACAGCTGTAAAGGAGAATCCCTCTAGATACATGGTAACACTGAAAAATTGTAGCAGATACCATGGCTCCAATGATCAAGAGCACCATGAAGTGTATAAGATGTTTCCTGGTTTGTATTTAAGCATCAGTGTATTTGGGTGTAAATTCTGTGTATATTTTGACATCTGGTTATACATTAAATTACTGTTTGTAGTGGTTATTGTTATATAGAGAGAAGAATGGAAAGTTTGCATGCTTCTGATTTGTACAGTTTGTATGGTTTAGAATTTCACTCAACTTGCACTGCTTTCATACTGAGAAAAAAATAGTGAAGATATTTATATTCTGAGACACATTGTTCATATTCAGAACTGGCAGAGAAGCTATGACAATGACCCCGTGTACCAAACCACTGCTCTGTAGCACGATTAATAAAAACCCAGAGATAGAAATTGGGATTCAACCTTAAGGTCAGAAAAGCAAAGCAGCCAGCCACTGGCTCTTACCTCTACCTCAGTCTGAAATGGTGATCCTGTCTCTAGGACTCTGAGTGAGTCTGTGTCTGAGAGCTGTCTCCTCCTGTCTTATATTCCTCTGTAGTGCTGGGATTAAAGGCATATGTTACTACTGCCTGGTTTCTCTGGCAAACTAGCATGGCTATTGGGATTAAAGTTACCACTCTCTGGTCTGTAAGATTGACCAGTGGGGCTGTTTTACTCTTTGATCTTCAGGCATGTTTTATTTATTAAAAGGCAAATGAAATACCCCTGCACCACCCCCATGCTGGGGCACCCTGCACTGTCTGCTGGACCGTCCTCAGCCAGCCCCGTGTTTTAGGCTCTCATGCTTCTCTCCACAGTGAGGAGACTGCTCACATCTGGCATCGTGACCCAGGTGTTTCCATTGCACGACAATGAGGCCCTGAAGAAGCTGGAGGACTCCTGGTATACTCGGTTTGCTCTGAAGTACCAGCCCATAGGTATGTGTCACTGCCGGTGCCCCACTGAAGAGAGAGCCCTGACGAAGTCACTGTCCTATGACTCAGTGCTCTCATGGCCAATACTCAGCTCTTGCAAGGGAAAGAGGATGGCTTGATGACCTTGTTCCTTTAAATCTCATTCAGGCTTTGGCTAAATTTGATCTACAGAATAGGTTGTCAAAAGTAGCCTTTGTGAATACATGTCTCTTAAAAAAGATCTTATCTGTATATATATACATATATATTGTGTGTGTGTGCTATGTGTGGCAGTGGAGCTGGGGGGGGGGGTTGTGCATATGAGTGTACGTGCCTGTAAAGGCCAGAAGACAGCATCGCATCCTAGAGCAGTTGTGAGCTGCCTGAGGTGGTTTGGTTGACCTTGAGTCAGGCTCTCACCTGCTAAGCCATCTCTCCAGCACAGGTGAATCACGTCCTCCTGTAAGTGTAGCTTGTCTGTGAACATTTTGTGCTTGAAATCTTCCGTTCCCATGAAGCTGGCCAAACCAGGCTTGAGGTGAGGCAGACTCAATAGCCCAGACATCTTTTCTGAGGGATCCACCTATTTTCTCTGAATACTTATAAGAATAATTCCACTGGTATTGAATGTTACTTTATGGAAAGTTACATCAATATTAATGTTCAAACGTTTTTGGTTGGTTATATGCTTAAAAAGCCTTTTTGTCAACCTTGAGCCTACTAAGCAAATGCTCTTCTGCTCAGCCACACCCCAGCCTTCCTTCAGTTTTTAAGCGTAAGGATGATATTCAAACTAGAACTTCACTAAGTGTTGCTGCCATAGTTTTTCTTTAAAGGACATTTCTTTATTTCTTTCTTCCTTTTATTTTAAGGGAAGCCTTCTTTCTATATTTTCCTTCTAATTTCCATTTCCATAAACAACTGTTACAGTGTTAAACAAGAAGCAAGATTGGAGACGGAGAGTCAGCTCAGGGCTCAGAGCCCTTCCTGCTCTCGCAGAGGACTTGAGTGCAGTTCTCAGCACACATCGGGTGACTCACAACCACCTACACCTCCAGCTTCTGGGAAATCTGACACTTCCTGTTCTTCCTGTTCTGAGGGCACGCACACACACGCACACACACGCATACACACACACACTAAAGTTTTGTTTCCTTCTTTAATATTTTAAAGATTTTCTTGTAGCCTCTGAAAGAAAAGCTTTGTTTTGATAATTCCAGGTACACAGCACTCATTTTTATGTTGCACGTAAGGGAGTTGTTCACTGGATGATATTTAAGTGGCGTAATTTAGATATTGCTTGTGGGACCACAGGTGACTGGCTCTATTCACTAGTCCTAGAAAGGGAACGAGCCTGGGGTGAGGCATACTAAACCTTCTGGGAAGGCGGGGCCTGCTGAGAGAGCTGGCAAAGGGCAAAGCCACCGGCTTGGAGACCAGGACACATGGGTCCTTGTGTTTTATGCAGAGGGGGCCTGCAGCAGCCTTATCACATTTAAGATGGCTGCATCACAGTTCTGCTTATTACCCTCCCTCCCAGAACAGCTAGGAGAAACTAGGGTGGGAGGAAGTAGTTCATGATCACGCCAGCCTGTCCTCATAGGCAGAGCTGAACACAGTGTCTTCAAAAACGGTGAGTGAAGGGTTCAGAGATGGCTCCCTGGTTAAGGGTGCTCGCTGCTCCTGCAGAACCCAGTTTAGTCCCATCACTCATGTTTGGCAGCTCACAACTGCCTCACCTCCAGCTCCTGGAGCCCGGCATCTTCTGGTTCTGTGGGTGCCTGCATGCACATGGCACACACACAGATGTCACATGCACACACACAGATGTCACATGCACACACACAGATGTCACATGCACACACAAATGTTACATGCACACACACAGATGTCACATGCACACACACAGATGTCACATGCACACACACAGATGTCACATGCGCACATACAATGTCACATGCGCACATACAATGTCACATGCACACACAATGTCACATGCACACACATGTCACATGCACACACACAGATGTCACATGCGCACACACAGATGTCACATGCGCACACACAGATGTCACATGCGCACACACAGATGTCACATGCGCACACAGATGTCACATGCACACACAGATGTCACATGCACACACACAGATGTCACATGCACACACACAATGTCATATGCACACATACCCAGAAGTTTTTAAAAATACTAGTGGTGCTGGAGAAATGGCTCAGCAGTTGAGAGTACTAGCTGCTCTTACAGAAGACTTGGATTTGGCTCCCAGAACTCACATGGTGATTTCCAGCCACCTATAACTCCAGTTCCAGGGATCTGCTGATACCCTATCCCTATTCTGACTTATGTGGGAACTGTATGCACGTAGTGAGCATACCTACACTCAGGTACACACATAAATAAAGTAAAATAAATTAAAATCTAATGTATAATTAAGAACCAGTTACTCTGACTAGTCCCCTGTCCCTCCTGTCCCCTCATCCCATTCTTGTCCCAGTCTGGCCACTCTAAGGCCCAGGGAGTCCCCGTGTGACCAAGGTTAGCGGAGGTACCGTATAAGTGGCCTTTTGGTTGGTGTCAGCAGGCTGCTTGGGCTGTCTCCTGTCCACATGAAGGTGTGCATGGATATTTTCAGTAGGATGTGCTGGAGCTGGAAGTGAATGTGTGGAGTCTTGTTTCAAGTCTACGAACATTTTGTGCTGAATGCACTGGGAAGTGTCATGTCTCACTGATGTCTGACTTTAGTAGGAGATGAAGATCTGTGGATGTGGGTCATCTTTACAGACAGCTGCACAGAGTGACATGGATGGGGGGGGGAAGCAGGGCATACATGACGGCCACACGGGGCTCAGTGTCCATGGCTGAACTTACCCTAGGACCTGAGAGAGTAAGCCGACCCCAAGATGATCTGTCTTTGGCAGTAAAGTATGTTAGATGAATGGAAAGTAAGGGGGAAACAGCCATGGTTCCCGACAGTCACGTCCACAGCCGAGGCCTGAACTGTGAGCTGGGGGAATGCAAGGCTTGTCCTACTGACAGGTGGGGTCTTTGTATTGTGTGCAGGACAGAGCTGGTACCCTACATGGGATGGAAATGGAGGTATTAAAGATCCCTAACCACCGAAAAGTGCACCTGCGTGTGCCGTGGTTAAATGGCAGTCTTTGGTAGCCCATGCCTCATTTCTTCCTTCTTTCCGGAACTGCAGACAGCATTCGCGGCTACTTTGGGGAGACGATCGCTCTGTACTTTGGGTTTTTGGAGTATTTCACCTTTGCCTTAATCCCCATGGCTGTCATCGGGCTGCCCTACTACCTGTTTGTGTGGGAAGACTATGACAAGTACGTCATCTTTGCCTCGTTCAACCTCATCTGGTCCACGGTGATCCTGGAGGTGTGGAAGCGTGGCTGTGCCAACATGACCTACCGCTGGGGGACACTGGTCATGAAGAGGCAGTTTGAGGAGCCCCGGCCTGGGTTTCATGGGGTCCTGGGTATCAATTCTGTCACGGGCAGAGAAGAACCCCTCTACTCCAGCTACAAGAGACAGCTGCGCATCTACCTGGTCTCCCTGCCGTTCGTGTGCCTCTGTCTCTACTTCTCCCTCTACGTCATGATGATCTACTTCGACATGGAGGACTGGGTCCTGAGTCTCCACGAGGACAACGAGTCTGTGTGGACCAGCCTCCTGCTGTATGTGCCCAGTATTGTGTATGCCATTGTGATTGAGGTCATGAACCGCCTCTACCGATACGCTGCTGAGTTTCTAACGTCTTGGGGTAAGCCTCCACATGTCTCATTTGCCTGTAAGAAGTTCTTCTTGGGGTTCAAGGGTCAGAGAGAGCTGGCTCAAGGCTGGTAAAGGCGCCCGCCCTCAAGTCTGAGGATCTGAGATAGTTGAAGGAGAGAACCACCTCTGATCTACGCACACACATCTACGCACATCATACACCTGTGCACACACACACAGTGGAACCTATGTACCTACACGTGTATGCACACATATTCAACACACACACAGCACACAAAATAAAAAAAATTGTTACTTAAATTGTTAGGCTCACATGGCCACTGTCCTGCAGAGTAGATGGCAGTCCTCTGGGCTTGCTACTAAGGCCTGAGACCAGCTCACCAGCTCTGACCAGCACTACTCCAGTTTCTTTTTTCACCTTTTGGGGTACCATGAGCTAGCAGACTTTTATAACTAGAGGCAGTGATGCTCACCAAAGCACTCAATATAGTAAGTACAGTCAGGGTGGTTCAGGACAGTAACAATGTGTTCCATGTTGGGGTAAAGTACATAGAAAGTCTGCAGAGGAACCGAGGCTTGTGTCCTCCGTTCATTGAGGACGGCCCAAGGATGGTTGCTCATGCCTGCATCTGTGGAGACAACCTGAGTAGAGTTTAAAAGTGGAGTTCATAGGCTGTTCAGCATTCATCCATTCAAACAAATACGTGTGTTATCCTATGGGAAGAAGCCTGGGCCTTTACTTCACTGGACCTAACATTTTAATTTTTTATCTGTTCTGTGGTAGAGCAGCCAGTTTGCGGAGGGCTTTCTTTGTACTGGGTCATATGTTCTGATCTCCGCAGCCATGCAGGCAGTGGCCAGTCCTTACAGTAGGGCAGGAGGTAGCATGCTCCGGTGTAGACCAGTCCTCACTGCAGGAGCCTCATGATGCTTTTTGCTCTTGCTCCTGCTGTCTTGGGGTCACTGTACTGTGTCCCCATTTCTACATGAGGCTCAAATCTGAATTCTCTTCAGGCTAATCCTTGTCTAGGGCCCTGCACAGAATCTGTGTTGATTTCCCCTTAACCACCTTACTGTTAGAGGGCACAGCCTCGTCTTTGGGGCGGCTGGGTGCAGGCTCATTTAACCACCTTACTGTTAGAGTGCACAGCCTCTTCTTTGGGGCGGCTGGGTGCAGGTTCATTTGCCGACACTTCCCAGATTTCTTTTTTCCGTATTTAGAGAAAAATTGTTCCCAACCACAGTGCTATTGCAGTGGAGGAGAGTACTCTCTTGTTGGTGTTGTTGGTAGCAAGGGATGGCTGTGACTGACAGCTGAGATGTCCAGAGACTTCAGCTCTGGTGCTGAGTGCCTCTGCCGAGCACAGTCCCACTGATTTACCTGTGACAGCACACTGGTGCTGCCTCTTGTCTGAGAGATGTCTCCTCTCCCCCTTGATATTGTAGAGAATCACAGATTGGAATCTGCCTACCAGAATCATCTTGTCCTGAAAGTGCTGGTGGTAAGTGGCATCTTCTGTGCCGTGGCAGCACCTCTCGGCCAGTGCCACTCTGCTGCCTCCTGGTGTGGGGTGAGGGTTTGAGTCTTCTAGGTCTGGGCTGCTCGATGTAGTGGGGTCTTTCTGCTGTGGTTGCCTGGCACCAGCATCTCCATGGGGCAGTCAGCCTTAGGCTCCATGGAGGAAAAGGAGACCCCTTCCCCTGCATGTGAGTCTTGGTACAGGTGGACAGCCTGGCTGTCCTGATGTGGGACGGGATACAGGGCTGCATCTCCCTGTGGATGGGGACTATAAGATGTGTGAGATTCTGTGCAGTTCCTCCTCCTCTTGGCTGCTGCCTCTCCTCTCACTTCCAGAGCTGATAGTTGAGTTCAGGCCTCAGGGGAAAGGGAAGCAGTTCCAAGCCACGGTCTGCAGCAGTGGTCCCTGTTTTAAATGTGCAAGCTGCTAACGTTGTCATCTTCTCTGGCAGTTCAACTTTCTGAATTGTTTCGCCTCGCTCTTCTACATTGCCTTTGTCCTGAAGGACATGAAGCTTCTGCGCCAGGTGAGTGTGCCAGCAGAATGCTGAGGGGAGGGTCTCACAGAGGATTTCCAGCCTTAGAAACGACTGCGCTAGGGGAGAAGGCTCAGCAGATAAGAGCCCTGACTGCTCTTCCAGAGGACCAGGTTCAGTTTCCAGCATCCACATGGCAGCTCACAGCTGTCTGTGACTCCAGTTCTAGGGGATCTGATACCCTCACACAGATATACACCAATGCATAGGAAATAAATAAATTTAAAGAAATGAGTTGCTTTATGTCTTTACTTTGTCTATTTTCCCCCCTTTAAATAATAAGCATTCACACCTGAATAATGTGTCATGCTCAACAGAGAAGTTAGCTAACTCGAATTCTCTTCCAAAATGAGTCATGCAAGGGGCAAAGCTGACCTGCTCTCCCGAGGCAGTTCTGACGGCATAGGTGCCTGCAGTCTGTGGACGTCCACCAGTGACTGCTGTGGGATAGTCCTCTGAACACTGTGAAGATTTGTCACTCATGTTTTTTAATAAAATGCTGATTGGCCAGTAGCCAGGCAGGAAGTATAAGCGGGCCTACCAGACTAGGAGAATTCTGGGAAGAGGAAAGGCTCAGTCTGCAGTCAGCACCCAGACACAGAGAAAGCAATGAGAACACTGACTGAGAAAAGGGATCAAGCCACATGGCTAAACATAGATAAGAATTTTGGGCTAATTTAAGTTGTAAGAGTTAGTTAATAATAAGCCTTAGCTAATAAGCCAATCAGTGTTGTAATTAATATAGTTTCTATGTGATTATTCGGGTCTGAGAAGCCAGGAAATGAAAGAACAGTTTCTGTTATGTTTACAAGTGATGTGGGTGGTTATAGGATAACCTTTAATAAGTCTTGCAAATTTCATTTTTAACATGTTACGCTTGAGAGACTAGCAGGTTCATGTCTGAAATGCTTGAGAAAGTCCTTCCTGCATTTGTAGTACTATAGTTTCTGGATCATATAAAACCAGTATCCAATAAATTGAATTCAAAGAATTAATTACTTTTCTCTTAAAAGTATTTTTATGTGATGGGTGTTCTGCCCACATGTATGACTATGCATCAAGTACCTGATACCAATGGGTGGGAGGAGAGGGCACAGATTTCATGGAGCTGGAGTTAGAGATTTTGAGCTGACATTCGGGTGCTGGAAATCAAGCCTTCATCTTCTGGAAGAACAGCCAGTGGTCTTAACCATTGAGCCATCTCTCCAGTCCTTCTCGTGGGTGTGCATGTACATGACGTTGGCTGTCTTTCTTGATTGCTCTCAACTTTAGTTTTTGAGACAGGGTCTTTCACTAACCTGGGGCTTTGCCATTTCAGCAGGACCAGCTGCCCAGTGTCTGCCTCCATGGCACTGGGATGCAGGCACTAACCACCTACTAACTACCTTTCCGTGGGTGTTGTAAAGGAACTCAGTGCTGGCATAGTGAACGGCACTCTACTGATGGAGTCGTCTCCACAGCTCCAGGCTGTAAAATGTCACAGTGATTCCCCCACCCAGCCTGGCAGTGCTGTTTTATAGTAACATGCTATAAAATATATAATGGAGTAAGTACAGTATACAATATAGTAGGATGATGAGATTACAGTCACAGTGTCAGGTTAACTTCCTCTCTGAAGGGCGCTGAACGAGCTTGCTCTGTCTGTCTGTCTGTCCGTCTATCATCTTTAAAGACAAGGTCTCACCATATAGAGTCCTGGGCGGTCTGGAACTCACTATGTAGATCAAACCTCCCTCTGCCTCCAGAGTGCTAGGATTAAAAGTGTGGCCCACCACATCCAGCCCAGCTAATTTCTTCTGATATTATTCTTGAATTAGAACATTGCACTCACACCCAGCTTTCTAATGTTTGTGTTTATGACATCATACGACTCCATTTTGAGCACTGAAGGACCATGTGTGTTGTGCTTTTGTTTCGATCTTTCTAAACGTGATGCTTATGCATCTCCTCAGAGCTTGGCCACACTCCTGATCACCTCCCAGATCCTGAACCAAGCTGTGGAATCTCTTCTTCCTTATTGGCTCCAACGGAAGCATTGCGCAGCAGTAAAGAAGAAGGTGCAGGCTTTAAAGGTGGACGTTGATACAACCTTGTATGAGCAAGTCCTCCTGGAGAAGGAAATGGGAACTTACCTGGTGAGTTGTGTGAGTGTGTGTAAGGGTCACACAAGTTCATGTGTGTGTTGTGTGCGCTGTAAGCGTTCTGCAGTGGGTTCCCTCAGCACGAACCACTTTGAAGTTAGGAGGAGAGAACTATGAATTAAGATGCCTCTGTCATGATTACTTAACAGCAGAAGGTGAGGGTGGAGGATTATTTGACTGTTTCACAGAGATGGGTGCCTGGATGTGTGCTCCAGCATGACAGTACACAGGGGAGATGGTCCCTGAGGCAGCCCACCTAAGATGGCTTGAATGTCAGATTACTGCTATTATAGCTGCAAGTCGGTTCCTTTGGAATGATTTATTGTGTGCATGAGAGCCTGTACACATGAAGTCAGAGGGCCACTTGGAAGTCAGTTCTTGCCTCCCGCTCTGCTGAGGCAGAGTGTCTCATACCCACTTCTCTGCAGACCCCAGGTTAGAGTCTCCTGTCTCTGCCCTGTGTTACAGATATGTGTCATGGCATCCCACTTCCTGGGTGGGGTGAGTTTGGGGGTTGAGTGGTTCACAGAGCCTGTGCTCTCCCCTGCTGCTGAGCCCTCTGTCTGTACCAGGACATTTCTTTTTTTTTTTTCTCCATTTTTTTTTTAATTTATTAAAGATTTCTGTCTCTTCCCCACCTCCGCCTCCCCTTCCCTCCCCC